ACTAACAGTTGTTTTAGGGTCTTTCTTTACAGCTGTCACAATGTTTCTGTCATCAACTGCTGATGTTTTCCTTGGTCTACCTGTTTGAGGTCTGTTACTTAGTACACCAGTGGTTTCATTCTTCCTCAGGACATTCCAAATGGTTGTATTGGCCATGGCCAATGTTTGTGCAATGGCTCTGATTGATTTTCCATCTTCTCTCAGCGTCACCAATCCTTGTTTTTCACCCATAGGCAGCTCTCTGGTTTTCATGTTGGTTACACTCTAACTATAAATGCAGTCTGCACAGGTAAAATCCAAATCTGAAACTAAGCGCAGACATTCACTGCTATTTATTGTTTTTTAATAATCAATATAATAGGACACACCAGGGCAACAAAACACAACTGTCAGTCACATGTTCCAATACGTTTGGTCACATGAGCAATGGGTGGGTTCAAACAAAAGGTGCTACGTCATAAAGGGTAAGACAGCTGCTAGACAGAAATACAGGTTTTTGTCATACAGAACTGTGAAACATTACAGCGCACATAAGTTGACCCAACAAATGGAAGACATGAAGGTAGTCACCATGACAACCCCAACCTGTGCAACTGAGGGACCCAGCAGAGATATCTAATAAATAGGACTAAGATGTCTTTTCATACATATTTCAGGGGAGTCATTCAGATTTTTTTGTATTTCAAGAGGAACATTATATTGAAATTGGTCATGTAGAATAAATAGATGTAAGAGCTGAGAATCTTGTGCAATTCTGCACTGACTACGAATTCAGCTGCAGATTTACTGATGCAGTTTAGTTGTATATTTCTATACTGTACATCTAGAATTTCTAACCCTGAGTAAGTTTGTTATACAAGCTACTTAGGCAGGTTCCAGTTTTTTAGCTTTTTTAACCTATAAAACAGAAATTATAAACAGTAAAGTACGCATATGACTACAAACTAAGAACATTTAAATAATAATGAATTCAAATATATGTTATTGTTATTCACACAGTATATGTTTTTGTAATTAGTAAATAACCCTCATCCTTACACACAAAGAAAGAAAGAAATAATTAGTTTTGTCAATTTATGTGGATAGCATTTGCGCCAAGATGTGCATGCATTTCGCTTTCCTACTTTTATCCTATCACGTCTCAGCCGATATTATTAGCCTAAATAAGCTAATGAAATACACAAAACTGTGAAACATTATGTAAGCTGGCTACTTTTACAACTTACCTTACCTGATATATATATATAATATAATATATAATATATATAATAAGCAGCAAATTAGCAGTTTATTGAGGCAAAAGTCATAGTTAATGGTTTGTTAATAGAGAGCATTAGACCTTAAAATAAAGTGTGACCAAAAATATTTCTGATTTGGTGTCTGAAAATGCCTTACTAGCAGAGCTGTGAAGGTTCATAAGACAAAAACGGTTGGGAAACAAAGATGTGTGATAAACTATGTGACAAATAACATTGTTCTAATATAAAATTTTCAAGTCTCACCCAAGAACATCTAGGATGCTTCAGAATAGACTTTTCTGTATCAAACACATAAAGAAATGCTTCATTTCTACCTTTTTTTGACATTTAGTCCCTCCTGTAAGTTCCAATCAAGATGCATGCATTTGCAATCAGCATCTTGAGTGCGCAAGGTAATTAAGTACTGGTGACACAGCAGTGGAATGGCTGTTTTTTTTTCGGTCTGCGCGCGTGTAATTATCTCCCCTCGGTCGACAGAGACCTGAATGAAATAACAAGTATAATTACAAGCAAATGGTAAAGTGACAATTCTTTTTTCTTAGTGTTTTTTTATAGAAACGCATTTAAGAAATGGACCTTACTTCATATTCTCAGAAAGAAACGATATGATAGTCAAATGGTCATTATTCGGAGTGCTGTATCTCATTACTCAAACTATGATTCTCTCTTGGCACCATCGCTGTATGCCACACACATTTGTGTCACGTTCTCATTGACTGTTGTCTGTCCACACTGAAAACAAAATCACAGCCAATCAGAACATATTTGATGTTTAGAGCGCAACAATGACCACATACTTTGCAGATTTGGAAGTCTTTTTTTACATTCAATTTCTTCATATTAAAGAACGAAGAGTGGTAAGCCATGAATCAAACCAGCTCTTAGAGGAATCATAACATTACGAACTAGATGAAAGACTGCATACTTCTGAGTGAATAAACTACTTATCCTACAAAGCACTGTGATATAACAGTATCTCCTACAACTATTTCCAATAATTCATTAATCACAGATATTTTATTATTTTTAAACTAACTCAGCATACTGTGGCTTGCCCTCCTGTCAGATGCATTCTGATTTGCAAGCATATTTTTTCTCAGCACATATGTTTCAATATGGTTTTATCCTTATCTGTAAATGTTAGAAAATATTTCCATTGTCCAGACAGCAAGCAAGCATCCGTTAGACTTCACAGACTTCATTTTTAAAAAAGCGGCTGCACATGCATCAAACAGATGGAGCGCAATAGAATCACGATAATTTCAACTAAAATATATGTTTTGCAAAAACATCCAACATCCAACATCCAAAAGCATCCAACGTTGGAAGAACTTGAAATCATTACCCCTTAACAATACCATAAACTTGAGTATGAAGAGTGTGTTGCAGCTGTTTGCGGCGGTAATAATACAATGCCAAGTGTAACTGCAAATGAAGCCAAGTGAGTCTAAATATCATGACACTCTGTAACATGTTATGTGCTTAATTGCTTTCAACAGCATTTGTATTGATATCAAAATTTGCATGGAAAGCCACCCAATATATTTCCTTTCTAGTGGAAAGCGTTCACAGTGAGTTGCTGGGTGGCATGGTCCATTGGGCTTTAATGAGTGCACTTCAGCACGGGTGCTGAGGTAAGAGCACTTGAATTCAGCGGTGGAGAGATCTCATTGCTATTAATGACACAGAAGTCATTTTATGGTGCATTTTCAGCTTCAGCCATTCCAACTGATCCGTCTGGAGTTGACTCATTCTGAGATGCTTTGTGTTTGGGTAATGATCACCCTGACAGTGCAATCTCATGAGATACAAGCAATATCGATATAAGTGATATCACTTATATCTCTTATATCACGTCAGATTGCACTGTCAGACATGCATATACTGCTCTCAGCAGACACTTCAGGCACATACAGAATTGCAAATGTGTTATACTCTTTTAGATTGATCTCCAAAGTCATTCAACAGACTATTCAAGCAGACATTAGGAACAGAATAGTGTATCTCACAAGACACAAACCCAAGCACTGCACTAACCGTGCTCGAAATAGCAAACAAATTTTCCCTTCATGCAGCGTCTCCAAAACGCGATTGGCGGGGTGATTGAACTGTGTAATTAGCTGTAATTAGCAGTCATCAGGGTTGTTAAAGGTCCCCCCTGTCAGGCCTCAGGTGCAGGTGTTCGCCATGATTTATTGCCTCTAAAACAGCTTTTGTAACCCTTGTCATTATAGTACAGCTATCCATCTATAAGCCAAGTTTGCTGAGAGACAGTAAGTATCACT